ATATTGAAATGGCAGGAAACACATCTTTTGGCTTTTAATTGAGAACAAGGCCACCAGAGTATTTCTTCCCGTTGCATTGTCCGATTATGAAAATGTTTAATCAGATGGTGCAATTAATTGGCATGTATAAAAACACAAAGATATGTTTTCAAATGTTTTTAATTAAGAACAAATCCAGTTGATTTCAACAAGCCCATTAATTGCTGCTTTTTGTAAATCCATTTCTAGAAAACATGTTTTTCCGCTTTTCTTACCACGTCCATGGAAAAGCTGCTTATCAGCATCTTTTTTCTCCTCCAACATTTCTCCAGATGTAATAACATGAAAGACTCCTGTATCTAAGCTGTTGCTCACAAATCACTTTAATTTGTGCTCTGACAACAAACACAGTTTAGCCTTTGAAAACAAAATTCTCCAAACTTGCTCTGTGCGGTGCGTTAAAGGGAACATTTTGTGTTTTCTTTTATAATCTGGGTCTTTTTTCAGTTTTAGCCATTGATTCCTATTGGATAGGATGAATATTCATCAATTAGGTTAATTGTAGATCATTGTAGATGTAGACAATGAAGTTATAGCAAACTAAATGAAACACCACTTATCTTACAGTATTCAAAGCTGAAAACATTGAGGAATGCAAAGTTAATCATCCAAATCTTTCTGTTTTAACTTTTTTTTAGGGTTACCTATGGTATATATTTGCAGTAAAAAACACTGCTTAAATCCTTGCATCGCATTTAGTAAAAGGTAATTTCTTGTAAACATGTATAGTATGACAAACTGCGATGCAAACCCACAGAGGGAGAACATGATTTGCATGTCTCTACTCTGCAACCTGTTCAAATCAGTATTTGTTGTGCATGTTCGCTCCCTTAGTCCCCATTTGTCAGATAAAAAAGTCCAGACCTGACAAAGCACATTCGTCCACACTTGTACTTTCACTCCCCAGCTGACAAGTAAACTTTGTTATAAGAATTGTCACTTAAGGACTAAGAGAAGTATTCAGAGGGTGTGTGCAGTTTTTGGATTGATAGAAATGTTTGTGACAGTACCCACTCGTCTTGATACTCGTCTTCCATTTTTCATCTACTTCTTTCCCCTCACCTCCCTCAGCTGACAGCAGTGGTTTTGTTGATGTGAAGCACTGTCATGCTACAGAGACCCACAATTCCACGCTTGTCTTCTCTTAAGAGAATGATATGAATGCTCTAAGCACTGTATCTACACAAAATAAGACACCGAATGATCTGGGACTTTTTAAGCCTCAGGTAATTCAGTCGATCTCTGCTCAGCAACACTAGCTTTGTGAGTTTGTATTAGCAAACAATGGGAACAACTGGGGCTTTATTGGCTTCAACAGCACAACTCCAGATCAAGTGGCATCTATCTTTATCTTCTTTAAGTCTATTCCCACTTTTTCGTTTGTTTGTTGGTTTGTTTGACATTCTTGTATTGATATGACTCTGAAAGAAAACAAGGGAATCATGGAGTATGTAGATCGGTATAAATTTGTCAAAAGTTTTGCATACTTTTCTTACATTTTCTTGGCTTGACTTGTCACACTTGCTTTTAATCCCCAGCTGACATGAAAACACACAGATGACACTGTACAAGTCAATGTTATATTTAACCATTTGATGCCGTTTCTTTATAAAAACACAGTGGAACTCAAAACCAATGTGAAGTCTAAGCGGTAATGGAATGGAATGTTATACCAAAAATGTCAACGGTCATATGTTTTGGTTTTCCTTTGTATTTGGTTTGAGCATTGGGACTGACTCGGTCATTGACTCTTACACAGCAAATGTGCCTGAATTAAACAAAAGGTTTATTTTAGTTTCAGCTTTAGTTAGACGTGATCTCTTTGCTCTGCTTTTCACAAACATACTTCCTTGATGGAAGTCTTAGCACATGCAAGCAACCCCTAAGAAACCCAGTTACACGTATACTGTACATGGCCAACAAATCAGGTTTTTCTCGCATAAAGAACTCTAGCCGTGTTATCCAGATTTTTTTCTAGACTAAGCAGGATGTTGAGACAATAGTTACTGATCACTGGTCAGGTGTCTGAACCTGACAGTTAAAGGATTACCTTAGTGCATTTTGAATCATTTGACAGCTCCTCCGTTCTTTTCCACTAAGCCAGCAGTGTGTAGTGTGTCTTTTTGACTTCAGCCTCTCTGAGAAACAGAACGCATTTCATCACTACAGTCATTGATTTCCCTCGCTGTAAAACAAACCCGGCTCTCCGTGATTCACTCTCTGTCCTGTTCTTGTTTTGTTTTCCTTCTTTCAGTCTGTTTTCTCATATCCCTGTAACTCTCTATGCTCTATTGTGTCCTCTAACTAATATCTTCCCTTTTCAATACATGCCTTGCAACACACATCCCACTTTACCCCTTGTTCACCTGCTGACATCAATAACTCTTGTATGTTGCAGTCCTCCAACTTTCTCTTTAAAGTATAATGCTATAAACAGGGAGGAACTGAATACTTTTGTGGTCATATGTGTAAGGATAAACTGTAAATACCATTACTTGCTTGCATAATAGAGTTTATAAATGAGAGAATGTGATCAGCGACATTGCTCAATATTGCGTTGGGTGCAGAGTTATCATGAGCTCATTATAATAAAAGATTAAATAAACTTTGAGTTAAAGAGCGAGGTGTAAAACTTGTCTTAGCTTAGACTATATTACTGAAGGCTTATAAGTGCAGCACAAAGCTACTGTAAAAGTGATCTGGCACAGCTTTTTTCAGCTTCCTCTTATGCAGGGCAAAGCAGCTGCAGCTTTTCAGTCACAATACTTGAGGTGTAGCCACCGATCCACATGCTGCAGTACCTCCTCAAAGCAGGATGGACATCTGCACTTTCAAATTTCAGATTTTCAGATTTTTCACAAGTTATTTATGATGACGAAAAGTGTACATTTGTTTTTGACTGTTAATTAATTCTATATTTTGTACAGATTCTTAGCTTTGCTGCTTTCAAGTCTCTTTTTATTCCAATACAAAGTATTGCATTTATTTTACTGCTAATACTTTTTGATCTTAATATGCCATATGATCAGTGATGCAAATGCTGTAAATGTTAAATGTTTTTCATTTAATTTGTCTGCAGCACTAGCTTGCTCCTTAGCTCTTACTGTGTCCCCGGGTCCCATTCAGGTACCGTCCTGCAACTTTTCTTTTCACTTGTTTGAGTCCATTTGCCATAACTAGCTCTCTGGCTCATTTTAGCCATTCACTTTAATTGCCTCACTTCCCTCATTACTTCGGCGGTAGTATGCCCACTGGTGTCCACCTCTTCCCCATCCTTTTTGTCCACACGCTGTGACTTTTGCTCATTGCAACTGCCTACTACTCATCTCAGTTTTAGTCCGGGGTTGCTTGCTGGTTATAATTGCCACTTTATCTGCCATTTTCTTAGCCTCTACCTCTCTTGCTGTGTCCCTTGCCCATTTTGTTTTAAGCTGCGAAGCCATAACAACCTCCCCTGTTTGCTAGTTTGCTCCAATGCTATTCACTCTAGTTTTTTATACTGTCTTTGCTCTTTACCCTTTTAGCTTTCTCCCCCTGACTGGCTAGTATCTCTTGTTGTGCCAGCAATACCTTCCACAAACTTTTTACTCTCTGTCTAGCTTTCCTCTTTGCCCTCTGTGCCATCAATGTTATTTGAATTGCCATATCTTCAATTCCCTCTTTTACTTTCCACCTCTTCCATATTCGTCTAGCCTTCTTATCAACTCAAAAGCCATGTCTCCCCATCTCACTGCTATAGCTACCATAAAGGCTTTGGATGCCTTTCTTACTCTTTGCCCTCTTGGGCTTCTCTTTAATTCTCTTGCCGGCCATTAATGGCCATTGGTCTGCCACAGTCCCGCTCACTGAATTTCACTTTTTGCCTTCCCCTCTGTCCTTTTTGCCTTGAGGCTGGCGTGCTTACTTTAACTGTCTCTCAATTTCTCTGGTGGCAGGAACTTACTGAGAGTCTTCATAAGTAATAGGTCCAAGTCAGATTTGTGGAGCCCCATAGAGATTCTTGCTCGAGTCTTTGCAACACTGCTGAACCTGAAATAAACTGGCAAGATCTTTTTTTCATAGCCTTTTGCCCGTCTGCTCCCCAGTCCCCACATGCTTTTATCTAAACCCATTTTTATCTGTTTCCCCTTTTCCTCTCGGTTTCACATTTCATTGCCTCTCCCACCTCTTATTCCGTCATCCTCTCTCTTCCTCTCACTGTGCCTCTGTCATGTTATTCTTCATTACTTCTACCAGTCTACCTTTTCTCTCATTTCCCTCTCCTCTTTCTTCATAGTTTGTGAGCTTAACCCTCTCTTTTTTATTTTCATCAGACCCTGCTTGTTTCCACCTCCTACTTTTTAAAATACATTATTCCTTTTCTTTGTCGTGCATTTCCACAATTTCCTCAATGTCTCTTTTTTCCCCTTGCACCTGTGTTCTACCTGACCCTTTCCTATGTTTCCAAAATTGTTATCCCGAGTTAATCCCTCGCTCTTCACTTCCTATTTTCCTCTGCAGTCCTTTATCTGTGCTCCCTTGCAGTCCTATCAGTTGGGTGCAGCTATTCAAACCTCACACTTATTCTTCACATGGAGCTGCTTTCAAAACACCGGAGAAAAGAGGGAATAGGAGAGCGGAGTGGGAAGTGCAAAGGAACAATCTTGCAAAGTTTTCATTAAATCCAGAGTGACTTATACTCAGTAGAATGATCTAGCTTTGTAAACAAGCAGCCCATATTGTATGAATATCCTCGGCCGATATTTACTGTGCACCAATTTTGCTTTTGCTTCTTAAGCTAACATAAAAGCCACATCAGATTATAAGCTTAAATAGACGTTTACTTTCTTTTGAGTATCAGTGGCTTGGTGAGAACATGAACTTGTGACTCATTTCACTTTTCAGGCAGTCTTCTCTAGCTTGAATCTAAACCTCAACTGATATGGCAAGTGATTCAACAGTGCTTTTGGTTTCTTCCGCAGGTCTGGTCGTAAGAGAAGCCAGTATAGAAATTACACGGCAGCAGGTCGAGGAGCTGTTTGGTCCTGAAGATTACTGGTGCCAGTGCGTGGCCTGGAGCTCCGCTGGAACCACCAAAAGCCGCAAGGCACACGTCCGCATCGCATGTGAGTACAGTACTGTAAGCACGCATGTGTAAACATGGAGAGTATGGGTGAGTCATTGTTCTTATACTCACAGATACGTTTTAATATGCTCAATTTGTACATGCCATAAAAGACCTGCATCTTTTTTTCTTTTCAAAAATTAAAAGACAGCCTTCAAAAAAACACGCAAGCAGACATGCACAGAGGTCAATATAGAGAGATAATTGTAGCTCTTATTCATGACAATTCTAGGAATATAACTTAGACCTCTATCCTTTTGATGTGCAGAGGCACATTACTGCCATGAGGTAAACATTGTAACGAGAAAGACTCATAGGAAAAAACTTGTAGTCGGGTAGAACCTTCGAAATAGCTTTTTCTAGGCAGAGACTTAGCTCTATAACTTCACCATCAGTAGCTTCCTGTTATGGTCTGGTGAAGAATTTAATTTGACAACTGGGAGTCTGACTATAAGGTCACCAACAGAACACAGGCCACACTAAACCCAGGCACACTCAATATCACTATAGCAGACAGTGTACCGCGTACCACTGCATACACAGTGATCACATCGGGAAATCATTTTTGGATTGTGGACCTAAACAGTCCAGGGAAAAAGAAAAAGGTTGAATCTTGTTCTGAGTGATCGTCACTTGACGGCTTCGCAGCAACCGTGTGACAAGGGAGTTGAGATGTTTGATAGAAATCACCAAAGAAAACGTGTTTGTTCTTTCAATGTAAGCCTCATATAACAGAATGGATTGTCCCTTCAAAGCTCCTTTCACTGGCCTGACAATTGAACCCACAGCAGTAGTTTTCCAAGCGTCATTGCTCTGGTCAATTCAGCTATATAAGACAACTGGGACTCATCTTGAGTGCTCGGGTTATAGAAGGGTCAAGCAGAAAAAGAAATACCAGTAACAAAATCGACCCCACCTCTGTGGCTTACACTGACAGTGTGGCTCTGCTTGAGTGAACACTCAAAAGGACAACTGGGGGCCTTTGACAGAGTCCATTCAGCAGACACTCAACAAACTGCACACGTCCCCATATTTAGTGCTTTAACAGACAGTATCGTTCTAACAGACACGCAACCTGGAAATCTTGTTTTCCCAGGTTGGTCTTATTCATGCTGCAGAAGGAAATCCATCATGTTGACCCTTGGTTTTTATGCAGGCTATTTTATTTTGCTGTCATTTTCACTTTTGAAGGGTTGGATGCTTCATTTATTTGTGTAAGTTCTAACAAAAAATTCACATTTTGCTTTGGTATCTAATCTACGTACTAAAACACTGAAAGAAATAATGAAGTAAATATATAATTCTGAAGATGAATTCACTTTTCATACATTACAATTATAGATCACAAATTGCCTAGTGTGTAGCTAAGCTATGGTAGGCTTCTACACTAGATCAGGGCATGTATTCTGTAGACCACTACACTGTATTTAAATTGACCCTGTACCAGATCATTTAGATATAGTAAATGTACACTTTTACATTCGTAGAACAATGAGCTTACACAGTATACAATGCATAATTACAGTTGTGTGGCAGTTCCTCAACACCGTGTTTCTCAATTATTTGACTTGTACGGCCATTTGGATTTAGAACAGAGCCTCACTACTCTCTGCATTGCTCTGGTATGTGAGGATGTTTTTCTGCCTGTCAGCAGAGAGTTAGTGACACAGTCAGAAATATCCTTCTAAGCTCCGCTAATAACATTGGCGAATGGAATGGGCCCTCCTCCGGGTGCAATGAAGGCTTTGTAATGTGCTGTTTTTGGCTTACGTTGGGGCTGATACACGCTGAGAGACAGATGCAGCCAAGTGTACGTATACAGGCTTCTGAGTTTCTCTGAGGTAAACACGTGAATGTAGACACCAGCAGCACAGATATGTACACATATTCAGAAGTGAAGCCCCCTTGTTCACTGGCTTACCTTTCCAGAAAGGTATAGCTGATGTATGAATGTATGGCTGGGTGTAAATGTGTGTGTGTGTGTGTGTGTGTGTGTGTGTGTGTGTGTGTTTGTGTGTGTGTGTGTGTGTGTGCGCCTCAGTCTTATGTATTCATACATTACTTACACCATGAATAGTTCTATAAGTCACCTGCTACCCCTAACTACAAAAATGTTTTGCTGAAATTACTGAACATATTTACATCTTATTTACCTACTTTGGACTGTTAAAGGGTTGCCCAGTTTTAAAGTTCTAGTGGTCTACACTAAATCTTAAATCAGCAAACTAGTGTGTTACCTATCTTGCATCATTTCCCTCCTTTTTCCAATCAACTCTCAACATTCTTCACACAGCGTATACAGTATTTCACACACGTAAGACCTCTTCGGGAGGTTAGGTAGAGGGATGGTGATGGAGGATGCCTCTAGGAAGGCTTGAAGGGCCAATAGATATCAGGGAGGAGAAAGATGATAGAACTGCCTCTCTTTGACTTTACGCTCTCTTTTTTTCTCATTGTTGCCTCTCATTCCTTTCTTTTTCATGTGGTGTGTATTTTCCTTCTGACTTTGTCTGCCCCTTCGTCCTTCACTGTCTCTCTTTGTATTATAACAGTGATTTCTCCCTTAACCAGATCTGATTACACTCAGCCCCCTCTTGTGATAACCTTTTACTTCAAATCGACCCAACCTCCTGACCTACCCCGCTTTCGGCTCCTATTTGGATCTACTGTTGTGATTAAAATGCTTCCTGGCAGCTAGAGCTTGCTGAGCAAAGTGTCTTTTTTTTTACCGCACCATGCAATAGCAATTCAGCATTTCTCTCCTGCATTCCCATCTCCTTTTCCCACTCATTTCCTTATTTCCCCACTCCTATTGTCTCTTACTTTTTTCACGCTTTGCTCATGATCATGTGCTCATTGTTTCGTTCTCTCACTTGTGCGCCCTTTTTTTCGGCTCTATCTTTTCATTCTCCGGCATCTTCGGGCTGGTTTAATAACTGTAGAATTAACACTCCAAAGCATTATGTAAATACGCAGTTTGTAGCTGGATAATGACAATCAGTGTCGCGGCTGTAAACCTGTCAAAAACACAATCAGAGATATTAAATCTCTGAGTGATTAGTTGGTCTTTTGGAGCAGGCCACTTCAGCTAAGTTAGGAGTGTGCGCAGGCAGCCTGATTCAAGTTTATAAAGTAGGTGAGATGAACACACACAAACACCTACACTCAGTTATTCACAGCATTGCAGGTATGTACATAAGGGTAAGCAAAACAGACACACAAATGGGCATGCAGTGTCAGTCATGCTCTTTGGCCCTGCAGCTCTCAGGTCGAGTCTTTCTCCTTCAACGGATTAGCAATATGTCAAGGTCGCACACACACACACACACACACACACACACGCACATGCATCCACACGCAAACACCCAGAGACACACAAATTTCAGATGATGGCAATTTGTTCTGCCACCTCTCCACTGAGACATGTGTGTGCATAGCAATCAGGAGTCCAGACACTAGGGGAGACAGCAACCCAGACGGCTCCTTGTGTCAACTGGAAAATGTCTGTTAGTGAATTTCTTCTGTTTTGTTTATGATGCAAATGTCTCAGCTGCATGAATGCAGGTTTCCCTTCATCATGGATGAATTGGACCAAGGAAAACAAGACTCAACAGGGATTTCTTGTGTTAGATTTTAAGCATTGATTAAAACCAAACTCTTCTACACTCATTTAGGATTAAACCTGCATGTTGCTTACAACCATATAAGCATGCAGTTGTACCTCAGCAACTGGAAACAACTGCAGTATGTTAGCCAAACTCTCAGGTATGACACTTGCTCCACAGCGCAGAAAACAAATTTCCCCGACAACCACAGTCTCAATGACATTTTTCCTTTTATTTGCATGAAATGGCTTGCTTAGCAGTTTCAGAAATGCATATTTAAATCAGAACTGATTTGCCAAAAGAGAATTGAGGGCTGTTTCTCCCTTCACACTCACCCCGACACTTTTGCAAACGCTATAGGTGGAAAACCTACAGCGTTTTCCTTTGAATGACATTATCAAGAGAGTCTTGGTTTCTGGCTTTGAGATAGATCTCATGATGCTCACAAACACTGAATAAACATTTTCATAGTGAGAACCCATAGTGCGTGTGTGTGTGTGTGGATGTGTGGTTATGATGTCTCGCCATCGACGCAAGCCACAGAGCTTTTCCCCAGATGTCAAGGACGGCTTCAGCAGACTCCTAAGTGTTAGTGGTAAACCAGAGTGTTGATGTAACCGCACAAAACTAAAGTCACTTTCCAAAGTCCAAGCGTGGTGAACTACAGAGTCGCTAAGGTGACTCCCGAACAGTTCATTGTGCAAGTCTGCAGGTCAAGGGTCAGAACAAAAAAAGAATGATTTTTGCGAAAAGGAACTAAATACAATCGTTGTTAAGCATTAAGCACAAAGGCAGATTCAATAAATGCATCACCAGAGCTGAGATCTATAATGGTTGAAAGTAAAAAATATATTTTCAGTTGAAACAAATGTTAGTTAATTCATGAATGTTTGCTTTTGCTGGAGCACAAATTGCTATTTATATCAGTGTAACATTGGCATTGTATTGACTCTTCCGACGTATCGTCAAAAGAGAAGAACAGTCCGTGGTGACGTTTAAAACATTCTACACGAACAGCATTTCCTTTACTTTGATCATTTGTTTTCACTGAGGATCACAAGTGAACAGTTTCAATCATTTCATCTGTTGTGCTTCAGATTGCCAGTGCCATGTCAGCGAAGAGAGTTGTGTACTTGTTCAAAACTCGACTGTGGATGGAAATACCTTGTCTGATGTCTCGGGCTGATCACAGGTTTGGGAAGTGTTGAAATGACAGGGTGGAGAGTTCCATGAGGAAAGTGGAAAGAGACTCTCGAAAGTCACTTAGAGAAAATGACTCCCTATATAACCACAGTGAAAATGACTGTGACACTCAACGTCACAGAACACCTTCAGCACTTCATTTTTTATATTTAATTTGAAGACGAACGTATGAGTGCCCGAAGATTGAGGAGGT